CAGTCACTACCTGACAAAGTCATAATCTGAAACGAACGAAGTGGGAAGACAACTGCACTCAACCCGAATCCCCCAATGCCATAACACGAGAGTTAAAACATTGAGGTGTACACACCCACCCACACCCACAAACACACAAACGAGAGCCTGAAATCACGTACACCGAGAAGGAAGAAGCGAAGAAGGAAAGGCGGAGGGTGGTGAGGAGGAGAAGGAGGAAGAGATGATGGTGGGGTCGGAGGTTTAAACCTGTGCATGCGTGTACACGAATTCTGACACGCTGGGACGAGTAAAATGTTACATCAACACACACACACACGGGCATGGACCTTTCAACTTCTCGCGGTTATGCGTGCCTGTCAAGACAATGTGCAGCTGCATGCTTACCTACTTGCACGCCACCCGCGATCGTACATCATCCCCTCAGCTCTCTCTCTCTCTCTCTCGCTCTTACGTGTGCTTGTGCTGAAGTGTGTGCAAAAATGTACCGATCATGCACAGAATCTGCACGACAACAACAACGACAAGGCCAAGGAAAGACGACACACACACCAGCTAGAGGGGAGGGAGTGTGGCGTTTGTGTCGAAATAGAACAAATTTCGCGTGCTTCTGCCTTGGACTAGGCTGTGCTAGCATTTCTTTGACACATCAAGGAGATGAAGATGAGGGATGGACCAGGGAAGGAAGGAGGGTAGGGGGAAGAGTGCGAAGGGGTACAATATAAGGTGGGCACTTTGATCACCTAAGTTATGGCCTCTTTACTGTGGGTCAAACTCCACATTTCGGGTCACTTGTGGATGGGTTTGTCGGCTATTAATCCCGTTTCATTAAAACGCCTCAATCAATGTCCCTATCACTGGATACGAGGGTCCATAGGCTTGCAAATCCTTGTAAATGACAACTTACACGGAGTGTGTAGAACTCCTTCAGCTCAAGTAGCATTTGCCAGATCACCACTTCGTATAATGCCATTTAAGTGGCTCTGAGAAATGCGCAAGAGAGAGAGAGAGAGAGAAAGAGAGAGAGAGACATGTATGCCTTCTTCGTCACATTGTACAGTGCGTGTCTTTTAGGTGTGTGAATTTGCTCTACATCCACACCATAGCCTGTAGTCGCATTCACTCGTGTCTCGGCACCCTCGGTCAACAAGGTAATCGCATTTTGTCAGACTTGTTGGAACAAAGCTTTTAAAGCTCACTAGAGAAGGCACTGTAAAGGAGGAAGTATGTGAAAGCGCCTACTTTTGGTGACAGACGAAGTGGAGAGTGACAAGAAAATCTTTAAACATCCCTTTTTTTAAGCCATGAGCCTACATGGAGTGATAAGAACACATAAATAAAGGACAGTGGTCACGAGATAAGTCATATTGCGAGGGAGAAGTAGGTCATGGTGTCACTCCTCTGTGAAAGGATAAAAGAGGCGAAGAAAAGGAAAAGTTTACACAAAAGGATTTAAGAGATGAGGAATTACAGTGACGGTAAAGTGGACAGTGGACACTCACGTTTTTCACGTTTTCCCTCCTCAACTTCTGCATCACTGCCAACCCCCTCACTCCTAACATCGGCCAATAGGGAGGCAGAGAACTTGAGCTTCGGTTGTAGCAGAATTGGTGGAGACGAGGTTGATTGGACCTGTGTATGATGTAGCAGATCGTGCTGGCCTCTTGGAGTAGCAGTATCAGGATGTTGAAAGGACAGGGATGGTGAAGTGAAGGTCCACTGTTCATTCCATGCGGTAGGTGGATCTAAGGAATGTGGAGGTAAGGTATTTCCATTTGGTGGTTTTATAGGAAGGCAAGGTGCCACCGTACTGTCAACAATGCTGGGAACAAATCGTCGATCTTGGTGAAATTGACGGCTGTGAGTGTAGAGAGACGAGGACGAGGAGGCTGAGTGAGTTCGACCCACAGTTCCACTATGGGCACGATTCTTTCGAGCTCCACCAGTTGCACCCGGACTTACACTTCCTGAAGGGGTTAAAGAAAATGACATTTCGACCTCCTTATGCATCATCCAATCTTACCGGTTTCGTGGAAACGTTGAAGAATCTTGCTCACACAACCATGCGACACCTTTAGTTGACGCGATATATCACAAGGTCGTACACCATTTCTTGACATCTGAACAATCCTTAAACGCGTCTTGTAAGGCAGTGGACGTCCATTGATAAACATTCCACCCAACTGATTAATTCGACCTTGACCTAGAAAGTAGGTGTCTTGTTATATAATGCTTTTGCAAAGTCAAGTAATTAGGTCAACTTGTTTTATTATGGCTCAGAAGACCTGCTTACACGATTTGTTTGACTTTAACTCATAAATACTCCCCATATATATGTATGTGTGTATGTGAGTTTCTTACCTGACCGAAAATAAGGTGATGAGGAGGCAGAAGGCCAGAGGAGGGGAGACGAAGGGAGGGGAGGCAGTAAGGGGAAACATTTATGCTATGACCTACTCTCTTTTACGCATGAGTATAAATCTGCTTTTGTGGAAAATAATTGCTTGATTTAAATTGAAGACTAAAAAAGGCATTCATAAATAAAAGCAAGGCTTGAAGAATGGGAAGGAATTTATTCACTTTGCAATTAACAGATGCAAATACAATGACAAAAAAGGACACAAGAATGGCTACGGTAACGTAAAAATTCTGACTTTTATCCAAACCAGAAGTAAATTTTTCTCAGCAATCATTTTCTTTCCTATTTATTTCAAAATAAAGTTATTGCTAAAAGAAAGTTAACACATGATTGGGGTGATGTGAGTGAGAGGGAGCTTTAATGATGAAAACATGCTTACATTGGTACAGTCTATAGATATTAGTATCTTCTTACCCTCAAAAATTATGGAGGATCCACGCTCAGAACCGGTAGAGGTTTGTTTAACGGACATTGCTGTTGGAAGATCGATAAATTCTACACTCTGCAATGCACCCTTTGATCGTGCCGTGACATTCTTCGATGGTTGTAGTTGTGTCTGAGGCAGGGGTGGTGGCGGTGGCGGTGGTGGTGGCGGTGGTGGGGATGAACTCAGAATCTGGTTCATGGCTCTTCGATAGACGGCTGGTGGTAAAGCTCCGGAAAGGAGGAGGGAGGGATGTGGTAATTCGTGGATTTTTGAGGGATTCATGAGAAGAGACTGAGTGCACCAGGAAGGAATACTACTACTGAGCGGGGACGTAAAGAGAGGGAAGGGTGGTGGTGGAGGTGGGGGGAAGGATGACAAGGAAGGAAGGGTATTGACTGTTTGTAAGTCTATCAACCGCTTAAGTGCAAGCCGCGCCAAGGCCAGAGAGAAAGGTTCCTCAGAGAAAGTAGAAAAGGGCAATGAGGATGAAGATGCGGAGGTGAGAGGAGGCGGCATTGGAAGAGGACATGATCCTGTACTGCTGCTTGTCACAGACTGACTACTTTGTAGGGACGGAGTGAGTGATGACATGGATTGATTGGGTACCTCTCTCGCGCTACGATCCATAAAACTAAAATCAAATAATTTTTGTTACAGCGACATTAAGTTGGTCGGGAAAAGTACCATTAGCTCTAACCCATAATGTAACACATAAAGGGGGCTCCAAATAGTAGAGGATATTGCTGTGAGATCTCAAGTTTTACCAGTCCTTTAGATAAGGGAATTTGAGAGTGCGTGACCTACCAGTGTAAAAGCAGCAATTGAGCAAGCGGGACAGGTGAGGGTGACGTTCCATTTGGCTCATTGGCCAGTTATGCGCATTATGGGTGACATGGACGCACGTACGCGCGTGCCAATGATTCGGTACCGCAGCGTAACACCTCCTATAGTCACACGCACGCATGCACGTTGGTCATGCTTGCATTCTATTGGTTGTACGCTTTTCAGGCGTAGCCAATAAACGCCTTGAGCGGAACTGCATAGCCCCTAAGTTTGTGCACAAACGCCATTGGGTTCCACTCCTCAGTTTAATGTTTTTTCCCGTGAGGCTAGGTCATGGTTGTTATTTCTTTGCGTTATTAGATTGAAAGACTGGTATCTAAAATTACTACTAAACGGAAAAAGGACATTAAGTAGATGCACGACATTGATACCTTGGTTATGAAAAAGGGACGATATTTTAACTTATGTGTTATTTGTTTGATTCGTCCGGCAGAATATTTGCTGGCCTTTATCCACTTTTAATTAGTGCGCTAAACGAGATGCAGTTAGAGGGTGAACACATGTGAAGAGATTGTTATGATTAGGGCAGGCAATTTGAGAGTCAAAGCAAATTTTCCTTGTGGACCATATTTAGCCATCTCGAGAAGGTGAAAACTTGGATGTCAATCGTAGCATTTAGGTGATTGCGTATGTAACACTTGTTACTTCTGCTGCCATTTTGCCTCCGAATTTTACATCCTCATGCTGATTGGAGAATGTATCGAAATAAGCGAGACTAGCGAATGATGATACGCTTTTTGGACCTTCGTGATAGTGCATGACATGAGACACAATTATGTTATGCAGTTGTCGATGTGAATACATTTTCCTGTAGAATACTGAGAAGTAGGTTGTGCAAACCAAAATACCCGCCTTCGAGATGCAGCTATTGTAAGTAATGGGCACCACATTCCCAAGACATTTGTCACTTGCACTGTCGAGGATCCAAATAAGAGGACTAGGTACTGTGATTGACGGTTAAACGAATTCTCACTTACCTCAACAGAAAGGCCCTATCGTTAACGTTCGGTACGTTGGAAACGACACGCCACTCTTTGACGACCCTAGAGGACATTGTCAAGTTCCCAAAGTTTTACTGGGACCTTAAGCACCTCAAATGTCCATAATGGACGATCCTTACCGTAGAGGTACGAGCTTTCTAGCTGATCAGCCAAAATCAGAGGTACCGAAAAAACCAGAGATTAGAGAGCGACACAAACTTTGTTATAGGGGTGTTGAGAGGCTCTACCCGTCGCCTAAAGGAAATTTTTGTAGATTTAGCATCAAACTACATTAGGCATCGCATGGTGAAGTGACTTGATTTTCAACACCTGTTCGTCGATCGCCAATCACTTCACCTTTCCCATACCTTTTTGATAACAACACGAGCCATAAACTGTGTAAATGTGGTAGCAAAGTGATTTTTATGGGCAAAGGTGATGTCCGCTGTGATGTAACACATTCTCCACTTATTTTATGATCAATTTAAACGTCCTCCTGGATCTCATTTCATCGTACCTGAGGACATGACCGGATGCCAACGTCATAGATGAAACACGCGTGTCTGTTTAAAAAAAATGAGGCTAACACGCCACCAGGGCGATGAAAGTGGTCTCGACATCCTAAAGAAGGATCACATAAAGCATGGATGCCAACGATGACTTTGTGGGACCGCTGGGGAACTGGTAAAGCGGAGAATGTGGGTAGAGGGCTAGTAAAATCATAAACTGGAAGAAAGGTTATGATGATCTTGCCCTCTTATAGGCAATGCTGGCAAGACACTAGAATCCTCTTTTATCATTTTCCTTTTCAAGTTGTTTGCACTAAATTGTTACAAAGTAACACAAAGATAAGGTCAGTTTATACCTTTCGTATACGTGAATTAAA